GCAGAAAGGGCTGATTCAAACTACCTTAAACTTAAGTTCAGGGTGAATCTCCAATATAATAATAATAGAGACAAAAAGATGAAATTTTAAAATATATATATTTTTAAGATAACTGCACGGGGCTTGGTAAGCAACTTTCATTGTGTCTTCCAGGCTCCTGTGTCCTCGTGCATGCTCCACTCCACAGCAGCAGTAGACGTTGGTGGAGAATTGTATATTCTGGGACACCACAGGATTTTCTCGTTCCTCTGAGGGTCTTCTTCTCCCCTGTGTGTGGTCCAGGCAGTCAACAGCAGGAAGCACAGTGGAGAGGGCGTGGTCAGCCGCATCCTTTCTCTGTTCTGGGTCCAGAAAGCTACTCCTGGATCACTTTTCTAAACCAGAAACACCATCAGTAGTAAGCTGCCAGCTATAAAGCCTTTGGGGGCCTGCATACTCCAGCGAGTGGGCTTGCAATTTGTGAATAAATCGGCAGTGGTTATGCAATGCCTCCTGCCTCAAACTGCCCTGTCAGATGTCAATTTTAGCTGGATTCACTTTTCTTTGCTCTTACGCTGCAAGTTTCAAAGTGAGTGTTAGAAAAGAAACAGTAGGAAGTGTGTGGGTAACATACTCTCCATACAGTCATTCAGAGGCACTGAGTCTCCCTGAAGATCGGTAGACGTCTAGCCCTGCCAAATCAGGGTGGGGCATCCACCTCTCAAATGGCAGAGGAGTAATTCTAGGGACCATTCAGTAGACCCTAACTCATGGCAACCCCATCTACGGCGGAGTCACACTGTGCTTCGCATGGCTCTTAATAGCTGATTTAGGAACGTCGATCACTGGCCTTTCTTCTAATTCACCTTTGGGTAAACTCGAGCCTTCAAATGCTTTGTTCGGAGCCCAATGTGTTACCTGTTTGCACTACCTAGGGACCCCAGAAGAACTAAACGAGATGCAAATGCCAGCCTACACGTTGCCGTTTGTTGTGCCCCCACTGAATGCTGGGTCCCAGCAACGGTGTCCTGTCCATGTACAACCCATTTCATTACCTTGGGGCCAGATAGGTAATGCTCAAACACGCTTGGCTTTCTTGCTCCTGTACCCTGCCCCTTGGTATATTGGGTGGGCTAACCTTTAGGAACCTCATTGTTTTCTTTGAGAGTTTTGGAAACCTAGATCAAGTAATTCCAAGTCACGTTTCCGACTTGCTCAGTGACACGTGAAGACCAGCAAGAAGAGGAGTGAGTGAGTTAGCTTGGGTGCTTTAGAGAAACCAATCCACAGAAACTCATGTATGACAGGGAGTTTTCTATAAAGGTTAAGTGCGCATCAAGAAAACATCCCAACCCAGTGCTGCCCAAGCCCACAAGTCCAACATTAACCCATATGTCCGACACCAATCCACAAAGTCCTCCTCCATCTCACAAACACACACAATGACACCGACTGCAGGAGGAAAGCCGAGTCAGTGAACGTGTAAGCATCTCAGCGCTGGCAGGGGTCTCCACACGGCTGCTCCAGCACCCAGGGCTGCATCGGGGTAGGTCCGTGTGGCCTCTCCTCAGGGAGGTCTTGCAGGAAGTGAGCCTTGTCAGCTGAAGCAGGGAACTGGCTAAGGCAGGTGCACTCTGGTCCCGCCATCACAAAGCAAGAGACCCGAAAACTTGAAATGCGAGGCTCACCTAGCCATTTATCCCTCTGCCCTTCAATTAACCCCACATGTCTTTATCGGCCAGGTTGGCACAATAAACTAACTACCTCAAGGAGAATTGGGGGCTCCCATGGAAGGCCAAGCTATCTCAGCTCTGCTGCGTCAGAGAGAGGTGTAGGAATGGGGACATTTGGGGGTTATAGGCAACCAGGGGCTCAGAAGTACTTCTACTTTCAGATTCCACTTTGTCTATTACTTTTTTGTTTTGTTTTGTTGATTTCTGCTTTTTTTAATGTTTGGCTTGCGAAGGCATTCTCTCCATATGAAGTCTTTTCCTCTGAGATAAACACTTATTTTAGATTATTATACCGTTCTGTGGTTCTAGCTTGGCAAGGAACTGGTTTTGTCTTATATTCTTTGTATACAGACATCATATCCACTGGTCCCTTCTGATCCAGAAAGCATTCTGTGTGTGTGTTCCTTGTGGCATTGGGTGGCATTGGGTCTGGCCCTCCCGCACCACAATGCTATGCTTTTAGGGACTTTCCACCCTTTAGGATTCCCGCAGTGGGAAGGCTCTTGTCAAACCCACCGGCCCATCTAGGTTGCAGGCTTCAATCCAATGGTGCTTCTAAGTGCTCAGAACTGGGCCTGGCATTTGGTGAGTCTTCCAGAAATGGTAACATGTTGCTTTTAATGCATTTGTTATTTTATGATTTTTGCCGATAGTGGAAATAATAAAAGGATGACTGCTTATAGCTCCCAGCTCAAGAATGTCCTGTCCATTACAATTCACATAGGCTCATTCTTAATGTCATTGTTCTCAGTGTAGATTTTACCTCAGAATGATTAACAGGCACTTTGGGGGCAGTAACCCCATTCAAGCAAGAGGAGCATTTTCACAACTCACGCTTGGGGTCTTCCCCCGCCCCCGTCAAGCCACAGAATTGATCCACTTCTGTCATATTTTCAGGGGATTCACTTAGATACTCTGGAGGCATGGTTTCAGCCACACTAGTTCTGTAGCTATCATTGGCATGTGGCTCCCATGGCTGTTTGGTCTTGTTTGCAGTCTGTCTTATCACGAGGATAAGGGATCTGTGTAATTCCTACCAAGCAAGGATATTTATCGGAGTCTCCTCTTCCTCTCTCATGCCCCACGGAATTAGCAGTAAAGCCCAGACCTTGTATTAGTTGATTTTCCTGGGAAGCCAGAGATTCCTTTATCAGGAGTTCCCGTCTTACTCAGGACCTATTAGAAATCCTTTAGATTCTCTCACTTTTCATTTTCATGTCGAATCTTCAGTATCTGCCCACACATTCGTACCTGGGCCCGGGGGTGGCTAAAGCAGTTCAGCAAATGGGTAGGACAGTAACAGAGAGTCAATAGTGGAGCCAGGAGCCAGTGTTGGTTCAAACCTAATTCCAGAATCTTTCAACTGGCCGTTCTGTCTGCATGCTCTGCATAGTTTCATGCTTGACCTAATGAGTCAACATACCGGTTACATTTTACACTAGCAAGGCTGTGTGGGTGACATCTGTGTAGGCTTTGTAACCAGAGGCATCTTTCCGGATGTCCTTGAATTCATTCAGAGCTCTGTGAGGTAGGTGCTTTTCGTCTGTGCCTGTCCCGAAGCCCTTCCCAAGCCATCATGACCTTCATGCCACCACACTCATGAACATGAATGACCACACACCCAGGCGTGTGCCTGCCTGGCTCTGTCTGAGTAGGAAGGTCCACGGGGCGGCCAGAGCACACATCCACTCCAGAGCCAAGAAACTGGGGCTTAGCGCCCCCTCTGCCTCTGAGCAGCTGCCTTCCTTTGGACGAGTTGTTTTCTTTGAGCCTCACTTCACTCTTGCTAAAGCAAGCATAACCACATGATTATGTGCCTGCCCCGTAATACCAGTTATGCCGTTTGCCATTGAGGCAGCTCCAGCTCATGGCGACGCCATCCATGCATATCCCCAGCGAACACCTTCTCTGCATAAGGTTTTTCAGTGGCCGAATTTTTAGAAGTAGATTGCCAGGCCTTTCTTCCAAGGAACCTCTGGGTGAATTGAAGAGATGTTATTTCATTTAGCCAGGCATGCGAACTGATTTTCTTCACTGCGGATATACCCTAGAATTGGCCACTACACTGTTACTGTGACCTTACTTTCATCCTATGGCTGAATCAAGGGGGGAAAGTGGTCCTGATTTCATGTCACTAGCTGTCTCTTTTGAACGACATGGTTTACAGCAATGTTTGCTCTGTTTTTAATGCCTCCTCACGCCATCGCTGCCTCAGGATGTAGTTAAAGAGGTGATAGCAGGGACGCTAGCCCGGGGTCTCTACTTCCCATCTCTGAGAAATGTGCTCAAGGCCAAGTTGTCCAGAACAGTTTAGAAGCCAGCTCTGTCCCTGGGAAATGAATATACCCCATGCTCTGAAGTCCCTGGTACCCACTCCAGGTAGATTTCGGACCCTCAGCAGCTGCTTGCTGTGGTGTGCCAACAAACCCAGCATGAAGAAGAGACATCGTGTGGGCAACTGTAGGGAGGAGGGAGGCCAGCTGCTGGGTGGACGGCTGAGAGGGCGCTGTGCTGTGTTGGAGATGCTCAGCTAAAGGTAACGCATGTTGGTGGTCAGCAGTCTATGAGTCAGGGAGGAACTGACCACCCTCAGTCAGCACTGTGATTAAACATAGTAGCAACGTTCAGCTGTGCCTACCCACCTTTGAGGCCTCAGCTGTATTTCCCTCACATTCCAGATCAACGGAGGTTAGGTGGCCCTGCCTTGGCATCCTGGGCACCTGTTTAGCTGACGCTAGGTACTGCTTTGAGTAGGAAAGTTTCTATTTAGACTATAGCAGATTCCAGAATTTTGAGAGAATTGGCAGGCTTGTTCATCAAATGCTCTATGGATTAAGAATTTGTCACGCAGCACATCATAGATGCTCAGTAAGAATTCAGCCTAGCAGATGTAGTACTGGAAGCTCTCCTTTGTCATACACGAGCAGTGGACTTCTGGGGCTTGCTGGGCGGAGTTATGTTAGTCATTCAAAATTATTGCTATTAAAATTATTGAACAGTGCGCTATTAAAGAGAGACAGCGAAGTGCAAGGAATTTCAAAGGGATTCTTAGTTGTAGCTTCTCTTTGCATGTAGAAAGATCGAACTGATTCTCACTCCTGAAGATATTGATTTAATTTAGTTACTTAAATGACACTTGGCTGTGCTGGCGTATAAATAGAAGTTTGGAACCTGAGAGGAGTCCATGCCATGTCTATTATATTGTGAACTTATTTATAATTTATTTCCGAACTGTCTGAAGCCCACTCTCCCGCTGTACCTGAGACCCTCTTCTGCTCTCTCCCGCAGTGCTGCACACGCAGGGGCCCATCGACGGCAGCCTCTATGCTAAGGTGAGGAAGAAGAGCACCTCAGATCCCAGCATCCCGGGGGGCCCCCAGGCTGTCCCCGTCAACCACAGCCCGGACCACGGCGACCACACCCTGTCTGTTAGCAGTGACTCGGGCCACTCTACCGCCTCGGTCAGGACGGACAAGACTGAAGACCGCCCAGCTCCAAGCACCAAGAGAGGATTGAGCCCCCAAGAGAAAGCTGAACTAGACCAGCTTCTCAGTGGCTTTGGCCTAGAAGAAGCCGGGAGCTCGTTCAAGGATATGACTGATACTCAGAACAAGTATGGTGGGACCCGCCACGTCGTGCCAGCCCAGGTCCATGTGAATGGAGACAGCAAACCACGAGACCGGGAAACTGACATCTTAGATGATGAGCTGCCCAACCATGACCTGCACAGTGTGGACAGCCTGGGGACACTGTCCTCTTCGGAGGGGCAGCCGTTGGCCCACCTCAGTGCCTTCACCTGCCACAAGAGCAGCCAGAACTCTCTCTTGTCCGATGGCTTTGGCAACAACACTGGAGAAGATCTGCCTGGCAGTGTTGTCCCGGACCTGGGCATTGGCATGGACTTGCTCTATGAGCCATCTTTTGGAAATCAGGAGCTCAGGCAGCCACAAGCCCTACTGAGGAATCCCTCTGCACCGGCACAGCCCCCGGCCTACGGGCAAAGTTGTTACTCTACACAGACCTGGGTGCGCCAGCAGCAGTTGGTAGCAGCTCACCAGTACACCTTCACACCCAACGGAGAGGTCAGGCTCAGAAGCCGTGGCACAGCAGGAAATGCCAGCATCGCCCCAGCCCAGCCCCAGGGGCCAATCACCCCCACTCGAGGAGCTGGCAGCAGCGGGGCCACCCAGAAGGGGATAGGCAGTGGAGCACATCCCCCAGACACACAGCTGCCCTTTCCCAGAAAAGCATTTGCACCCAGATTTGGAGAAGAAAATGCTATGAATGGGGTTGACCTGGAGCGGAATGCCGTCCTCTCCCCGGGATCCCCCACCTTGGACATTGACCAGTCCATTGAGCAGCTCAACAGGCTCATCTTGGAGTTGGACCCCACCTTTGAGCCTGTCCCAACCCACATGAATGCTCTGGGCGGCCAGGTCAATGGCACTGTCCCACCGGAAGGGGTGGGCAGCCGGCTCCAGCCTAACAGCAAGCTGCAGGACCCAGGAGAAAGCCCCAACAGGATGGCCAGGAGGCAAGGTGAGCTGACGTCCAAGAGAATGCTGGGGTGGGATAGGGCTGGCATTTCACAAGATGCCACCCACTAAGGAGTAAGCTGTTGCTGAACCTGCCCATGGAGAGGCCCACTTTTGGGATTGTACACTCTCGTGAACATTTTGACATAGACTCCCTGGCAGAAAACTTGGAGAGTGGGAAGGAGGGCCATTGGGAATAGAGCCGAAGACCTGCCGAGTAGAATTAGGACAAAGTAAAGATTGGGCACCACCACTTGGGCGAGAATTGATTGCTCGTCCATTTTACAAGGACTTAGTAGTGTCTGAGCAGTGGTGGAGCAGGCCAGGGGCAACATGGCTCAGAGCCAGACTGCCTCAGTGTGGGTCCTTGCATGGCCACTTGTAAGCTCTTTGAGTCCACTCAGGTGCTAAACTATTCTAAGCCTCCCTTTTATGTCTGCGGAATGAACTTCACAACGAACCTTTTCCCACGGAGAATGCAAGGTGGTCAGCAGACGAAGAATCCTCATGCGTTCTAGCAGAGGGCCAGCCGAGAATCGGCTCACACGGGAGTAAAGTCAGCACACCCAGTGTGGGGAGGGCCTCTCACTAAGTCTGCAGGACAGTCTTGCAGGACTGTCAGGAAGTAAATAAAAAGAACCAGCCACAGTACATTAAATGGTGGGGGGATGGTTTGGTGAGAAGCAACAGCTAACTCGGGGAGACGTAGGAGCAGGAGGGTGCATGGCGGTTTGTGTGGTAAGGGTATGCAGAGAAGTCCACGTGGGAGTGAGCGATGGGGAGGGCAGAGATGGCAGGGCCAGGGCTTGAGGTGGTCAGGGAGGCTTGCTGAGCAGCTAAGCTAGTGGAAGGGCACTGGCTGCTGGCTTTGGCAGGAAACTTCTAGTCATAGGACCGGGCTGCTAGGGAGCAGCAGTGCCAGGGTAGGAGTGCCACGCCTGGTGGGCTAGCTGCAGTGGTGGTGAAGGTTCTGTCTGAACACCTCCTGCCAAGATGCGTGCCTTCTACCGCAGCACGGAGCAGGTTTTCAAGGCAGAGCAGGGGAGAGCTTTCCTAGATTTCTCCCCACGTGCAGCCACGAGGCCTCGCTGAGCAGGGAGCTGGCGGCAGCATGTGTGGGCCGCATGAGTTGGACGCGGCAGGTGTGGAGGGGGAGCGCTTTTCACTGGCTCTTGGAGAGAAGTCTCTGGGGGCTCCCCAGAGAACGACTGCGGTTGGCTTTCACCTGGAAGGACAGAAAGGGGGGGCACACTTTCATAAGCAGGGATTGACAAAGGATAGGCTGCTTGGAAAAGTGGATGCAGGAAGAGGGTTGGAACAAGTAGTCGGAGCTGCGCACCAGAGAACGTCCAGGCAGCATGTTCTCCAGGGACCTCCTCAGAACCTCCCCGAAGGATCTGAGAGGACGACGAGGTCAGGGCTTTCTCCCAGAGCTGGGGTGTGCTCTGGGCCTTCCCAGGCGGGGCTTGAAAGAGGGCCTGCTGCGCAAAGTGAACAACGAGGGTGGGTCCCTCACCAATGGTTGCTTTGCTCCTGGATGCCCCTCTATCTCTTTTGGTTGCCCTAAACGAGTTCAGAAATATTAACTCGTAATGTGCTGGAGGATGATGCAGGAACACACAGTATTTCATTTTGTTATCCGTAAATGTACCACGAATCACAGCCCACTTGACAGTCACTAACAACAGGCAAGGTCATGACTATCAAGGCACCCTGTGTGCTAGTAACATTGATTAGAAAAGGGACATTTTCATTGCACGCAGTTCCCTCAGCTGCAGGGACCATTTTGCATTAGCCTTTACAAAGGGGTCAAGTCGCCTGTCCACAGCCACAAAGATAAGCAGGTGGTAGACGAGGAACTGGAGCCTGCTGTGTGGACCCGGGACCCATGTCCTGCTCGGGACCAGACAGGGTTGGGCTCAGTCCTGGTACAGACCTGGAAGCAAGACAGGGCGCAAGGAAGATACAGGCACAGCCGCTGTTTCTGAAGGCTATGAAACGCTGGTAGGCGGGTCATATCGTCTATGAATAGCTACATCTCATCAATTTAGAAGAAAACCATATCACAAAACCTGACCTATAGAAAGTGTTCATGTCCTGAGTCCTGAGTGAACAAACAGGAGAAAGAAGAAGCAGTTTGTTTCCATGAAGATTTATAGTCTTGGAAACCCTAAGAAGCAGTTCTGTTCTGTCCCTACAGTGTACTTAAGAGCCAGAATCAATTAGATGACAGAGATTTTGCTTTAACAAAGGACTGTAGCCATCAGATGGGAAAGAGGTAGTCACTATTTATAGTGCTGGCAAAACTGGATATCCATTTGCAGGAAAATGAAATCGCATTTACACAATATGCAAGAACAAAAAACAAAACCTCACTCACGGTGAAAGAACGGCAACATAAAACCTAAAACACTAAGAAAAAAACGGGGACAAACTTAGGGACCCTAATCTCTAACATAAACGATCAAACATAGCCAAAAATGCACAAACAGCAGAAAACAAACCAGTTGTCAGACCTAAAAATTAAATATTTATGTGCATCAAAATACTCCACTGAAAGTATCATAAGAGAAAGTATCAGACTGGGAAAAATGTTTTGGCAACAACACGTTGAACATTTATAGACATGTGTCGAAAACATCAGTTTTTCTCTAATGCCTTTTGGGTGCCAGTTTTTCCAAGACGTAAGGTTTTGAGATTTTTGGTTTGGAATGGTTGCTTCAACTTCTATAAAAGCCAGAAATCTGAACAGTTAAATATCGGGCCAATTGGCTGAAATAATCTACAAATGAACCAAGGCCCTAAGGTCCTTTTCCAAAGAAAACCAGTACCTTGAGGTATTTATACATAAAAACTCCCTTAGAAACAACTACATTTCTATTTTATAACACCATATGGTATATTGATATTACAAAACCTCTGATTGACTATTAAAATATACATACAGTAATTTTATCTATTTAGACACAAACATATTCCTTTGGAGACATTAGCAGGAAGTCTTAAACCATTTAATTTTGTGAAATCATAGCTCAAACTTCAGCCATGTCTCTAGTTGTGCTATTTATAACTTAAGATTGCCAGTAAAAATATTAAATTTGAATGTTGTAATTCCTAAACCCATTTGGAATCTGATTATTTCCTGTAGTAAATGAGCATTCAGTTGGCTCAGTAACTGAACTCCCTATGCTTTTACTTGTCTTCCTTTTAGAAGCACTCAGACCAGTGTTTAGGTCTGATGGGTAATGAATATGGAGATTTTTTTAGCACTTAACCACCTTGCCACCAGGCCTATCAAGTATATACTTGTTTTAGGTGACCTTTAAGCTGAAAAAGATAATGAGCCTCGTAAGATTTTTTCCTTAAGATTTTTAACTTTGGGATAGTTATTGTAAGTAGTATTATTTTTTAAACTTCCTTTTCAGAGTCCTCTTCTTAATTATACAAGGATCCAACAGAGTTTTGTATGTTGATCTTATACCCTACTATGTTCCCAAATTTTTCAATCAGTTCCAACAATTTTTAAAATGAAATCTTTAGGATTTTTCTATATAGAAGATTTCATCATCTATAAAGAGAGTTTTATCCTTCTGTCCCAATATGGCTGCTTTTATCATCTTTTTGACGTCTTACAGTTTGGGCTCAGACTTCTAGGACGATATTCAATAGGAGTGAGGATAAGGACAACTGTGTATGCTTCCCATTTGAAGGGGGCAGGGTGGAGGGATGTTTTCAAAATCGCCCTCTTGAGTAAGATGCTAGCCATTCGTTTTGCTTTTATTATGCTGAGGATTTTCTTTGCTATTCCTATTTTATTAAGTGTTTTTATAAAGAATGGATATTGAGTTTATCATATGCCTTTGCTACATCAATTGGCATAATAATATGGCTCTTTTTTGTGGTGAATTAAATTGCTTGCTTTTTTAATATTAGACAATCCTTGCATACTTGATGTGCATTCTACTTGATCATGATGTATTGGGGTTTTGTTTTGGTACTTTGCGGAATTTTGTTGTCTAGAATTTTGCTGTCTACATTCATGAGGGATATTGTATAGTTTTCCATTCTGGTGATGTCTTTTCTTGGCTTAAGTATCAGAGATATACTTGCATCCTAAAATGAGTTTGGTAGTATAGCATCCTTTTCTCTATCCTGAAATATATCTTAGGATTGGTGTTAACTCTGCTCTCAATACATGGTAGAATTCCCCAGTAAAACCAGCTGGTCCCAGACTTTTCGATGTTAGAGCATCTTAATGACGAGATTTATTTCTTCTTGTGTTACAGGCCTGCTAAAGTTTTGTTTTTCTTTTTCTTTGTTTTAAGGCTTTCTACATCAGTATGTGTTAATTTATGTAGGTAATGTGTTTCTAAAAATTTATTCATTCTCGATTTTCAAATTTGTTGGAATACAATTTTTCATAATATTTTCTAATTTTTAAAATTGCAGTTGGCCTGTTATGATGCTGTACATTTCATTTCTTATTCATAGCATTTGCTTTTAATCTCCTACTTTTTTTGCTTAGATTTGTCTGTGATTTATCAATTTTGTTAATCCTTTCAAAAAACCAACTTTTTTTCTTGTTGATTTTTTCTGATTTATTAATTCTTTAATTTTTGATATGTGTGCTTATTGCTAAAAACTGCACCCAGAATATTGCTTTTCCTGTGTTCTGGAGATTTGAGTGTGTTGTATTTTTGTTCTCATTTGTTTTAAGGAATATTTTTATTGTGCTCTTTATTTTTTCAATTACCTGGTGTAATTGAACCCTTGATAATTAATCCATTTTTTTTTCATGTCTTACACCAACCGCTGTCTCCCTTCACCCACTTTTCTGTTGTCCAACCCCCTAGGAGGGGTTTATATATAGATCATTGAGATCGGTTCCCCCTTTCTCCCCACACCTTCCCCTTCCCCTCCTGGTATTGGTGCTCTCATTTATCGGTCCTCAGGGGTTCATCTGTCCTGGGTTCCCTGTGTTTCCAGCTCTTATCTGTACCTGTG